GGGTATTTTCCGGGTGGTGGGTTGTGTTTAAGTTTGATGGAGTGTAGGTGAATCTAGTCTTTGAAAGTATGGTATGAAAAGTAAAGGAGTATATAGGCGCAGGGAACACCAGCTAAATCTCCTCATGTTTAATTCCGTTGGTTCTAAGTTGGTAGAGATTATTAATGCAGACATCCTCAAAACCCAAAGGAAATTCAAGATTTAGAGGTATAAATGAAGCAGGTAAGGAGCAATGGGAACATAGTATGTCATGGGGATTTTGATTAGATTGGATGCAAGACTTTCCCTAGATCCAGTATTAAATCTGTAAGGGTAGTCGAGATGGGTTAAGGCGGTGGTTGTGGTGGAGTAATGAATCATCAGTACGGATCCAATGAAGAGGAACTCTCACGAGGAGAGAGGATGTTTTGTTTTGTTTTAGTTTGTCACTTGCAATTTCTAAACGCTTTCAGTTTGAAAATTATATAAATATATATATATATATATTAATTAAAGAAAATTGTCGTCAACAATTGTGTTTTGTGCAAAGGGCTTTTTTTGCATCCGGATCCATGGTTGTGGATTATAATTTAATCTAAAAACTAGAATTAGAACGACATATATAAAGCTTCCCATCTGAAAATCTGACTGTAAATTCTAAATTATCGTCAATACAAAGAGTTAAGAATCACCTCTATTTTTAAAGGATATGGGCGACTTATAGTCTAAATTAATATATATATGGGTCAGGATTGGGGGACACACAAAAAACTACACATTTTTAACCCTTAGATGATTCACCATCCAATGGCATAAAATGCATATGTCATTATTGTTTTTAAATTTTTTTTTTTTAAAAAAATCTATTTTTACTTTTTGAAAACATGCAGCAATCATTACTTCAATTTCTCTCTCCTCACATGTGCCTCTTCATTTATATTGCTCTTCCTTGCACAGATTTCTTCCTATCACAAACAACTCTCTCCCACTCCATTATTCTCTTATGTCTTCATCTCTTCTTTAAGTTTCTTCATCATTTCTTGTTGGACTTGTCAGAAAAGTGAAACCATTGTAATGTCGGAAGCTTTTTCACCATTAGTTGTGTAGTCATCACTCACCTCTAGCCCTCATCTCCATCAAGTTAGAACCATTATGTGTTTAGTGTCAATAGCTCTTTTGCATGCATATTGTCTTCTTCTTGATTTATTTTTTAATTTGAATCACATAAATTACACCAGCACAACACTACTTGAATTGGTGTCATCCTTTCATTATTGCATCAATTCATTATGAATTGGTATTATTAAATTTAAGTCTAGAATTAAATTAGTGGTATGACTAAATTTGGTTTGGTTTATTCATGTGCAGATGGTTGGAGGGATGCAGAATGGTTTGAGTTATGATTGAAGGGTTATACTATATATTTTCGTGGAGTTTTATGGTTGTTGGGATTACTGATTCTTGAGTACTGAGTATTTTTGCACTTTTAACTATTTTATGGTTGTTGGGACTACTGATTCTTTGAGTATTGAGTATCCCATGCTGAAAAAGAAAGAAGAATGTTGTGAACAATTACTTTTGGTTAATGATTGATGGTTTGTTGCATTCATCAAGCTCTAATGTTGTTTCTGGAATGAGAAATGGAATTTTTAACATCGTTTGACTTTGCTAATGTATGCAATCTATATGTTTATTAATCTTGTCAACTCTTATGAATATGGCTAAAAAACAATGGTTTCAACTATAAAATATATATATATATATATATATATATTGTGTTTTTGGTGAACAAATAAGTCCATTAGAAGAGCCTAAAGTAAGGAGAAAAGTGAGATCATTGGAGAGAGATTGAAAAACATTGTAAAGAAACAAAAAGAAAAACAATCATGAAAAAGTGTGATGAGAAATTACAAATTTTAAAAATTAAAATGGTGAAGATAGATGAAATGAAACTACAAAATGGAAGAATCGGGAAAAAGTTCTGGATGGAAACAAAAAAAAAAAAGAAAGTAAGTATAGAGAGCTTTTGTGTTTAAAGTTCCGAAAAAAAAATGAAAAAAAAAAAAAAAGCCTAAGATAATTGCATAGCAAGAGTAACTGAAGAGAAGAATAAAAGTGATAGGTTTTGTGAAAGCCCCACTAAAGTACCAAGAGTTTTAGATGGAAAAAAAAACGTCTTTATGTTTTCAAGAATGTAATTAAAGAGGAGAGAGAGTTGGAAAAGGTAATCATGTAGTTGGTTGACTTATGTCTTCCAAATGAAAGAATATTGTTTTCCTTTTTAAATAATATCATATGCATTTTGAGCCATTAGATGGTGAATCATCTAAGGGTTAAAAATGTGTGTATAATGTGTGATTTTTGTGTGTCCCTCGATCTTTACCCTATATATATATATATATATATACTAAGACGCAAATTTGAATTTGGGTACATGAGGGTGGACAGAATTCGACCCAAATTCCACTTTGGAATCTGAGATGAACCTTGTGCATGTCTGACACCTGGCAGGTGTCGGGCACACTTGACCAAATTGCCCTTCTAACTAAGTCTCAAAAGCTTCATGTAACTTTGTCCAAAAACGGGATGTAAACCGAAGATCTCTGTCTGACAAAATAGATACTGGTATCCCATGCAATCTCACAATTTCAGCAATAAATTTTTTTACCAATTTAGGATTGGGTTATTACAATCAAGATGCATCTCTGGTATGCCTGGTTCGAGACAGGCCTGAGTTAACAACTTTAGTGTCTGCTGAAAATTGGGGTCAATTGGTGGGGTGGCCATCTCTAATACTGCCCCTGTCAGACCTCATACAAATGATTGCTCAACATGTTCCGGTGTCGGATTGAAAATCGGATAGTTCTCTAGCTCAGGAAGGGGATCCTGTCCCCGAAGTCGAGACAACTGACGAGTCCCTCTATGAGTACCACCACGCTTATGGCCCATGATTCTGTCACAAAAAACATGAATTCATCAATACAGGAATGCACACAAGGTGGAAAATCTACAAGAATTTAAACCTAATGCTCTGATACCAAGTTGACCAGGACCCGACCCAAATTCCACTTTGGAATTTGAGCTAAACCTTATGCGTGTCCGACACCTAGCAGGTGTCAGGCACACTTGACCAAATTGCCCTTCTAACTAAGTCTCAAAAGCTTCATGTAACTTTGTCCAAAAACGAGACTTAAACCGAGGATCTCTGTCTGACACAATAAATATTGGTACCCCATGCAATCTCACAATTTCAGCAATAAATTTTTGGCCAATTTAGGATCAAGTTATTACACTAAACTCTAATCAACTGGCATAATATTCCCTATTTATTTTGTTGACCCCAGGAAGAGAGAATGGGACCAAGCACACTAGGAACAATGTTCTAGACTCTCATTTGTTGGATCAAGTTGAGAAGAGTTCGTTTAAGGCCCAAGTAATAGGCCTTGAAATGATCCAATTTATATTTGCGATAGGTGTACCATTGTTGGAGCTTGGCTCAACCCAACAGAAAGAGATTGTTTGATCAAGGATATGTATTTAGTGATTTGCGCATTATAATCTAACTTCTAATCAGTCATTGTGCTATGAATGGGGAACTGGCTCAGATTAGTTATGTTCCATGCCTTGTATGACTTAAGGACTTTTTAAATTCTACTTTTATGTGCTGGTACAGGTGAAATCCTGAAGGATTAGCCCCTAATTAGGCTAGAGATGCCCTAATCGGGCTAGATATAAGTTGATCATGTTGCAATGTGTGGAGCCAATTTCTAGCTTTTTTCAATCCGATATGAGGGAAAACAAGTCATAAATGCTAAATAAACATTTTAAAACTTAATTAAATTCAATTGAAAGACATGATTTGGAACTTAAGATTTCTCTACTCATTTCATTATCAATGCAAACTTAAAGTAAAATGACAGGAAAAACAACTCATAACTGAGGATTTCTTGATTCAATTCATTGCAGTCATAAATTTGAATGTAAATGAACAAGTAAATCTAATAAATTGAAGTACTAGTGCTGAAAATGAACAAAGCCTAGCAACTAGTAGTTGATACCAAGTGTTGGCAGAGTAATAAACTAAAAAAGATAACTAAGGAGTTGTTAACTAGATCTCTTGATGCAAGAGAGGTTTGTTGAGTTCAAAGAGATCAAGTCTTGATCGAGTGTGAAGTCTGTTTCTTAGAGAAAAGCTGTGTGTTGAGAGTTGTGTTCTGCATCTATTTTTAGGCTCATTGGTTCTTGAATTTGCATGCTTGGTGAAAAGATGGTTGAGTATATGTCAATTCTTTCTTTGCGGTTTAAAATGGTAAACCAATACATTGAATTATGCACCGTCGGTGATGGTTTGTCCCATCATGACCTTTTCTTCAACCAGTTGGTGTAGTATACCTTCATAGTTCAATCGCATTTAATGCGGTTGCTCAACCTTTCCCTTCGTCGTCTAACTTTTCCCAGCTATCGAAGTTAACTTTGAGTTTTAACCTAGATAATTGCACCATTAATCGGGTAAAAGCAATTTTGAGTTATAAACAATGGCTTTATTTTGGAAAATTAGAAATACTGGGCCTGCTTGACCTTGGGCATATACCTCTGGGTATTTAATTCTATGAATTCGAGCAGCCCAAGGCCCATTCTGATTTAAAATCTATAAATGGGCTTTTTTTTTTTCATTTTCAGCCCAAACAATTTCTCTTTTCTTTTCTTTCAAATTATGTTTTGTTTTAGCTCTGAGTGGCATTGGACCTGGATGAGAAAAGAAGAAGCTCTTCTTTGAGAAAAGAAAATCATACAAGCAAAGTAAAGCATAGTTAAAGTAAGAAATAAGTTCCCAATATTGTAATTAAATTTCTTGCAAGCCCCTTATGAAACAAGTAAAAAGGATATTAGGCCTTTCAAAGGTCCCCTGAAATTCAGCCACTGCTGATTTTATGTGAAAATAAGTTACATGAAATTTTTTACTGCCAGCAAAAGAAGCATATACTTGGCAAGCTTTTATGACTGATATGAGGATATTTATCTCACAGCATCCATCCAGGGATGAAACCGTTGACTTGTTGGGCATGAGTTGTGGCACTCATCTGCTCTGACCCCACATTAGAGTACCTGCAAATTCAAAGTTAATCAATTAGGATATATATATATATATGGCTATTGATCAAGTTTAAAACACACTAATTAAGATTAATTACTTAAAAATTAAATCTTTACCCTATTTGCAAGGTGGGATTGCAATCCAAGGGCTGGAAGAACCCATGAGATTGAGCATGCTGGGTCCCATATGCCATACCCCCCTGGTTTCCACCTTCCCATGATTGTCTAATTTGGTTTCTTGAACTAATGTCATCCAACTGCAATATGGTAATAAAATTCAATGTATTATGTAAATTGGTTCTATGTTTTCATGGTTTTGTTTTGAAATTACCTTCAATGACAAATCCCTGTTTGCTTCTATTAACATTTGTTCCTGTAATTAGAACAAGTTAATTAATATTATAACCACATGAAATTGCAATGCCTTGATGATATCTTCAAGACATGGAGGCAGATATATATGCGTACCTTATTTTGAAGGTCAGAAAGTTGGTCCAGCATATACTGAGTCTGCATAACAAGATGAGATAACAATTAATGCAGCAACATCTGCATGTAAATGTATGATCATGCATGTAAATGTAAATGATTGAAGTTGACATGTTACCTTAGTGGACCTAACTTGCTTCAAGGAGGACTCAAGTTGACGCTCAAGCTGCTCAAGCTCCTTTGTGTTTAAGGGACCCAACTCTTCTCCAAGAAGGTTTCTACAGAATTTATAAGGAGAAATGATTAATGAGTTAACTAATCAAGTCAGCTAATTCTATAATTCACAAAGTAAGTACCTCTGAGTTCGTTGTAGGGACTCATATCGACCTTTCAGTTTCAAGTACTCGCGGTAGCTGCTCTGCTACACATGAACCAAAACGAAAATGTATTAGCCGCATTCTATTAGATGATCATCTATAAGCCACATTCCAAAAGCAAAGCAAAAGTTTTGATGAACTTCATATATATATATATATATATATACACAATATGGCAAAGTAGCAATTTAGGTGCTACCTCAAGTTCCTTGGCAGGTTTGTTGACTTCCACTTGACCATAACTGCACTTCTGGTACCTTTCCAGTGTTTTGAGTATGCTACTAAAGAAGAAGGCGCAGGGCAAAAGGAAAAGGAAAAAGAAAAAAGGGACAATTAGGATACTACTGAAAATGAATTAAAGATTCAAAATTTTATGTATGAGAAGAACATTATTAAACTTCTTCTTTCTGCCTTGCACTTGACTTTGCAGAATCTGCAGACCTTAAATTCTGAAGGCTGACAGCCTACTCAATCTATGGTTGTTGCTTTAAAATTAGGAAACCCTACCCTATATGGCACTTTAGGAACATCTATATCCATGTTGTAGAACTATTTTCCCACCAAAAGACACCTATATCCAAAATACCACTAGCCATTTGACAAATGATTGCATAAAGTATATATATTCACTAAAATAAACATTCATACTCCAATTTATACTCACAAGCAACAGCTGAAGAGAATTAAAAGTTTTGAAAAATGATACTCTAAAAATAAATGTCTTAATATGACACAATTAGAACAAGCTAGTTGATTTCCATGCTTCGATGGAAGCAACAACTAGTGATAAAGAATCGATTTCCAACTCGTTTTTTGTACATTAAACAAGAAGAGGTCATATTATAGAGAGTAGAGTACTCCATCACATAAACCATTCCATGTCAAACAACAAATCGAGGAGTTTGCTCACCTTACTCGAGAAGGGTTTAAAATTTTGTACATTAAACAAGAAGAGGTGTCATGGTAGGCAATTTTATGCATTATGGTTTCTAATTACTTCTAGATGCATTCAAGCAAGATTATACATGTCGATGAATTAAAACTTACATATCAAACAAGGGGAATTCTCCAATAAGTATTTAGGTTAAAAATTAGTTACATATATTTTTAATCTTGGTCGTCGGATTGCATTCATTAGATGTGTTGGTAGATTTAATATGCAATATACATGCAATGCAAATGTCGATATTAGAAATATGCAACCAATCTTTAACATAAAATACTTATTGGAGAATCTCTCATCAAACAATTTGACAATAACATTTTTCTCTACATCCTAATTACAAGAAAACATAAACCCAAAAAATCTTATTTTATTATTAGAGTAAATGGATTTCTGTTAGTAGTCATCATTTCAGCTAAGCCAAACAAAAGAATTATATTAAAATAAAAAGGTAATGACAAGCAAATTAATTGATCGTAAACATCACCACAACTATGCTTGTCACTCGTATATTCGTGAACCTCTCTTTCCTTGAACCAAGTTCATGACTCTGACAGCTCTAACAATTCATGATTTCCTTTTCATATATATGATGCAACAAAAGTTGACTAATTCTCAAGAAACTTCATTCTTTTGCATTTCAAATTTGTAAACGATCTGTTGCATTAATCGCCCCCCTTGTTCAATCCCATCGTGGTTTGGTTGGTTATGGTTTTTTTTTTTTTTTTTTTTTTTTTTTTTTTTTTTTTTAATGGTGAATTATGCTTATCACATATCAAACATGTCAAAACCCTAGAATGTTTGCTCATATGCACAATCAAAAGTATAATTTACATATAACAATAAACAAGGAAAAAAACTGAACAAATCTTGAATGCAACAAATGGTTCACTACACACTTTTCTTTAAGAAGTGGCCAAGCAAAAAGAAAAAAAACTTTTTCCAAGTAGTTCATGATTTGAAAGAAGTCACTGGTTGTCCGCTGTATAATAGATAGGGTTTTCTTCATTGATAGATGTGTCAATTTTATACGGATTTCAGACCAAGACAATCAGAAGAAGGAACTTTAAATTCTCTAGCCATGCCATTGAACTCCGAGTCCGAAATTCTATACCAAAAGAAATATAGGATCATCATGATCTCAGCCTTTTGATACTCACACACACCTTTGCAGCCAATCTGCCAATTCTCTCTCTTTCACTCAATCCATTCACACAAAGGGAACCAGAACAGGTTAGTGCAAAAGATAATTAAGTTTAACTCTTAATTTTTATCTAATTATATAAATTTTAATTCTAAGGTAGGCAAAAATCAAGGGCAATATTTTTTTAGCTACCAAAAACAAAAGGGACAATATTTTCTGTCCATGAAGAACCATACTAGAAAAAAAATAAAAAATAAAAACACTCCAAAGAGAAAAAGAATAGGGAATCCTTGTGATTCAGATCCAGTAATGCAAGATTTAGTACCCAAAAAATTTGAACAAAATATCAGTTCGTGAAATCAGATAATAGAATTTGATGAACATCCAACCTTTTTTTTTCCTATTTTTTGAAGCTTCAATAAATCACAAGAGGAAAAGAAGAAGAAATGGAAATTAAAATATGCATCATCATGAGTAATTAATATTTCCAACATAGCTTTAAAAATTAAATTGAAAAAAAAAGAGAGAAACTTTGTGATAAGCTTTTGCACTTGTGGAAGCAAAGATCTCATATGGATCCCAATGAAACCCATGAAGAAATAAAGAATTTGTATCATCAGCCTTATGAAATGAATTAATCAAACCAAAAAGAGAGAAACTTTGTATATGAAAGATGCAAGCTTGAACTTGTAAAAGCAAGATCATATGGATCCCAAAAACCCCATGAAGAAATCAAAGAAACTAGAGAGTATAATTAAACAGATCCAACTCATATAAATCTAGAAAGAAAAAATGAGATGAGAGAGAGTGAGTGAGTGAATGATGTGTGTTGAGTAATTAAAATTTACCTAGAGCTGCTACAGAATTCATAGAGCTTGCCACGGTTAGAGAAGATGATGAGAGCAACCTCAGCATCGCAGAGAATAGAGAGCTCATAGGCTTTCTTCAGAAGCCCATTTCTTCTCTTTGCAAATGTGACTTGCCTGTTTATCTTGTTCTCTATCCTCTTGAGTTCCACTCTTCCCCTCCCCATGTCCTTGCCAGCTAAAATATTATCCACCCAATCAACCACACACACCCCCCCTTAATTTTATTTCCCTTTTATATATATATTTTCTATATATCAAAAGTTTTGATCTCCACAATATTTTCTTTCCCTTTTCTTGTTCTTCTCTCTCTCTTTGGTACAAGCTGATCCTCCTTTTCTAGGTCAGTACCAAACTGTAACCAAATTTGTGTAAAACAAGAGAAAGTTAGATACTCACTCAGTGGAAAACCCTAAGGAAAGATAAGAGAGAGAGAAAGAGAAAGATCAGAGCTTGTCTTGTAGCTTATAGTTTAAGTTCTCTCTCCTGAGTTTTGGCTTTTAACCTGAGGCTCTAAAACTACACCCAGAAACTCTGAAATGAAATTTAGGGTTGGTGTTCTTTCTAGTTTCGTATAAAATCTCTTCTTTTCTTTCTTTTGTACTGTCTTTGTGCTGAGAGAGAACTCAACAACCAATCACAGCTTGAGCGCGTTTGGCTTTGTCTGTATGTCTCCATATCTCCATTTATTACTTACTGTGTCTTTCTAACTCAACAAGATTTTTTTTCTGAAAGTGAAAATTCACGTCTACTTTTTGCCAAATTATATGCTGATATTCATAAATTTTGCATCATGTCATAATCCAGCTAAATTCATTTCTGAAAATATATCTGTGCTTTCTAATATTGCGCGCAGTCTGGCGCGTGGTAATTTGTAATTGTTTGACATAAATAATTAATAAATAAAAGGCTTGTATGATATACTGTCCTCGTAAGTAGCAGAACGTCCTCACCTACCTTAAAACAGATCTCCACGTGTTTGTTCTTCACTGGCTTAATCTTTCTTTTGAGAAAAAAAAAAGCCTAAATAAAATAGAAAAATATTTGTGAGACTTATTTATTATTTATTCTTCACTGGCTTAATCTTTCTTTTAAAATCCACTGGACTTATTTATCCATAAATAGTCTTTTAAAATCTCAATTGAATACACCCCCCTAAGTTCCTGCAACATTACATAGTTTAGCAACAACTGAAAACACCCAGTAAAACTATAAATAATATAAAAAGCACGGGTTAGTTCAAGTAGTGGTATAAGAGTCATTACCCTTGCACTTGAGGTATTGTGTTCGGAATCCCACCTCCCTCAATATGACTAAAGTGATCAAGGTTGATGTGTGTATAATACAAATTACGAATTAGTTCAAGCGGCTTTCGGATAAATAGATTTACATTTAGGATCCTCGTTTCAAGTCTTCAAAATCGCACTTAATCTAACCATTAGCCTTATGTTATGTATATATACATACATGTATATATATAGTTATGTCCGATCCTCATCCAAGGACTGGCATTGATTGTATGAAATTAAAAAGTACGATCAAGATGAAGAGTCAACAAGATGCATAATTAATAGAATGCCAAGGATTAGTTTAGTTGTGTTGCTACAAAAGCCATAAATGTTGCATTGCTTGGACCAGAGGGCAAACCACTTCTGCCGATACAAAAACAAAAGGGCATATTCACATTGTGTGGTCAGGGAAGAAAAAGCATGTACTCGAGAATGGGTGGTTTGGTCAATTCACCACCATATTGCCCTATGAGTAATACAACCCATATGGGGGGTTAGAATAATAATCCAATACCAAAACTGGAAAAAGATGTGTGATTTTCTTTCAAGCACTGCGCCAACTGATGGAACATAGAAGGCATATGTGTTCAATGTGACCCAATTTCTGCGGCCACAACAAATAAGAAATGGAAGAAAAAATAGGGGTAGGTGGGAGAGACATATTTTTCTTGCGATGGGTAGGTTTGAGAAATTAGATTAGATCAGTTTTTCGAATCAAGAATAATATTCGCATTTTGAGAGGTCCATGAGTCCCCACCGCTCCCTATCACAATGGGTTGATTGCTACACAAGGGGCAAAGATGTCATAGGAAATATATTATCTTCGTCTCAAGCCTCTGCAACTAAAACTATATGTTTAAATTCCTCTTCCCGACTATTGCTTGTATAAAAAAAAATATTTCCATATGTAACTCTTCTAGAAATACCTCATCTTCCACATAATGTACGTATTTTTATAGGATACATAATAAGCACAATATTAGCACCTAATTAAGAAAAAAGTTAACCTAAATGAGCTAAAATATCAGCAATGGAGTTATATTTATAAAATTTGGTGACATGACTCAATGTTTGTTTTGTGAGGAATAACAGAATCCATCATACACATGGAGTTAAAGGAAGGCTAGTGTTTGGTAAGCTAGGAGGAGGAGGACGGATATTTGAAGTTCCATGCTTGGCCATGGGCATATGTATCATATGGTTAAAGATGCATGAGCACAATTATTCAATGGACCCCACCCTAAATTATTCCTCATTAATTTATCGTGGAGTATATGAATGATTTGACCCCCTCCTCCAAAGCCTATATTTATGTCCACCATTGCTTCAAAACTTAGACCCTGCCTAATGATAAGCATTAATCCAAGTTAGAGTAAAATATTGGTCAAATATAACCTAATATTTTGTAAACACGTGTTGTTGGTCAAGTTAGCTCACATGTTAATGCATTTTTACTTAATAGTTTTTTTTTCATATAAGCGATATTCAGAGAAGGGTATTCGAACACACAATCTCAAACATAAACGTAACTGCTCTTTAATCACTTAAGTTATAAGTCCCTTATAATTTTAAGTTAGTCGTCAAATGCAATTAAATTAAAGTTGAGAATCTTGTGCGTAAAGTTCATTATTTGAGAAAAGAAATTGAGTTCCTAAAAGACAGTGATGATGCGCCCAAGCAAAAGCCAAATCGAACTTAAACCAGTTAAACACGCGTTTCCATAGGAAGTTCGGTTTATGTTTCCAGTGTTTTTTAGTTTTAGAGGAGAAACGCTGTTTTCCAAGTCCAAAGTTAGTGCTGGAGTGTCAAAGCAGCACTCTTCCACCTGTGTCGATCAGGGATTGGGGGTCAGAACAGTGCCAGGTGACGGAGATGATTGATTGCAAAACCATGGCCATGCGTCCGTACACTCCCAACGGCGTTTACCTGGAATAGTGAAAGGCCCTGCACGTACACGTGTCGAGAAATGACAACGGAAATAAGACTAATGGATGTTTTCGCTATCGGACGTCTTATCGGACGCGTGCTGGGAAAAGCTACTCCTTTGCCTCTTTGATTATTATGGCACTCAGGTCTATTGGTAAACGGTAAACTAGCAATTTTTATTTTTATTTTTAAAAGAAAAGCATTTCAAAAAAATCCGCAATGGATGTGATGATCGTACAAATCAAAGTTAACTCTATAACTAATACTCATAAGAAGATGATGAAAAATATTACAAAGAAGATCCGCTACCATATTAGCTTCTCGATAAATATGCTGAAAAGAGACATGAGTATAATTTTGTAGCAAGTACCAAATATCGTGCGTATGATTGATTATTCGAATTGCCCGAGGAGCTGGGATTTGTTTCTTGAGAATTCGAATTAGGATCTTGGAATTCCCTTTAATTTCGTAATACTTTAGATGCCTTGTCACTTCGCAACATCTCTGAGTTCCTACAGAGTCCCTCGTTTGGAAATGCAGCATAGCACAAATGAGATTGAGATTTGATTTTTCCCACTAACAAATGGTGCTGTGCTTTAAAGCTTTGCCACAATACAACTCAGTAGATATAAGATAAGAGGCTTTCTTTTTGGGGTATGTACGTCTCACAAGTCCACTTCAAGTTCAAGTTCAAGGGTTGTTGCTATGTGTGTGCAAATTCCAGAATCTTAGAGGCATTTTTCAAACCACAGCCACATGTAGTATAAGTTTGTCACAGAGGGTAGGTTTCAGAAATATGAACCCCCCGCCGCCCCCCGAAAGCTCAGCCACATTTTTACTTCTACTCTGCCTATAATGTGTGGAAGTAAAAATGGTGTCCGCTTACCATGGTAGGAGGGAAAATCACTACCAGTTTTGAAATCATTTCTTCTGTTTCTTCCAAATAATGCTCACATTCAATACATATACTAAGTGCTATAAAGTTTGTATGAGAAATGGATAACGCGTGCTAACCTGGTATCCATTCAAAGAACCTTCGTATGAATTTCAAAGGGTTATATATACTCCAATAAGGACCACTGACTGATCTAGTTCTCTTCCAGCTCGCAAGCCGCTTCTTAGTAATTTCGCATAAATATGCAACAAAAGTTATCTATCATTTCTTCCTACAACACAGCACATCTTATAGCCGAAAGTTAAGCAGATATTTCCTAGCTCAAACTCAAGGGACGTACGATGCTACTCCTAATAAAAAACCAAATTGACTGGAAAACTCATATCACATTAAACATGCAACAAAAGGAACACCTTCAGCAAATATAAGCCACTATATCTACTGACCACAAAAGAAATCAATAACAGAGGCCGCCGGAGGGGAGCAGGGATGCTTTTCGTCTGACCCTTAGATGAATTCTGTATAAGGCCCCCTGACTTCTTGTGTTTAGAGTATCAAATCAAATTCAAGCACAAGCATTACATCAGATTTACCAAAGATGAATATGATTCAATTGGGGGATTCATCTTGCTAGGGAGCAGGGTAATAAATATGCAGTCTCTAGAATTGACATGGATGGCAAACTATCCATGTATTACATTATCTGTGATATCAACATGAAAACGATTTTGTAATGTATATATATCTCTACTGTCTAAAGTGGGTTCATAAACTTCCTTGCTCTATATCATTGGACATTGATAAATCATTTTAAGATAGCGCAACTAGCGTAAGAAAATTTTAAACAAACTCAAACAGATGTTTTAGAGCAATCAGGGCAGCTAAAATGACCTCTAGCGTTACAGTTGGTGCAAGAAATGGATCTTACTTTCGAATCACTACCCCCAACCGATTCATAGAAGTCATCAATGAGATTTAAACCAAACACTCCACCTTCTTTGATTAATCCAACTCCTTTGCATCTTGAGCATGCTATCATCCTCAGATTGCCACATCTCTTGCACATTCCCAAAGAACTGAACATTCAAAGGATTCATTCATATACAGCACACATAAATCAGAATGCACAAATACATAATACACAAATCCCACAAGCAAGTAGAAACTGAAACTGGAGTTTTATTGAATTGAAATTGATTTTTAACCCACATGAAAAAATTTCATTACAAGGATATTTATCCAATTCTTTGAAACTAATTACAACTTGATGAAGATAATGGAGCTGAAATGAACTCAAACATTAGAAAGAGTCAAAGACAAGCCTTTTGTGATGAATTTTGGAAATGGGTAATTACCTGCGCTGAGAGGCAGAGATGAAAGCGTCGACCTTTGGGGCAGCAATGGTGGCGCAGAGGAGCAGAGCCCCAACTCCGAAACCCGCCAGCTCGCTTGCCGTTATGTTATCCATTTTTCCTCTCTCTCTCTGTTTTCCTGTCCCAGCTCTTGCTGATAACTGATATTAACCACCTTATCTGAACTTTCAGATTATTTGTCGGTTAATATTCTTATCGGGGCTCGAGAAAGCATCAACGGCCTATTAGCTCAGCTGGTTAGAGCGTCGTGCTAATAACGCGAAGGTCGCAGGTTCGAGACCTGCATGGGCCAACTTTTTGTTTTGTTTTTCTTCGTGTCATTTTGGTCATTTCTCCATGGCCTAGGCTTTGTCGTGGGTTGAAAACCATTGAGTCTTCACCGGAGTACATCCAAGTCCCATCTCACGTTGTGTCAAATGGCCCATTTGTTGTCTCTTGGCATTTTGGGAACCCAAAACTTATTTTTAATTCACTAATTAACATGAAACCCACTTGCATTTGTGTCTTCGTTCAGTTGGCTAAGGAAAAGGAAGTGTATATGTCCCCTTTTACATATGATCTCGTTCTTCCTATTCATACATTAGAGTAATTAGAATATGGTTTTGTCAAAAAGAAAAAAACAAAACATGTAACCTACTTATTAGAGTAGTTAGAACATCTTTTTGTCAAAAAGAAAAAAACAAAACATATAACCCACTCAGTGGCGGAGCCAAGAATCGAAATACAAGGGGTCTTAGTGTAAAAGTCCCAAAAAAAAAAATTAGGATGAAATCAACATATATATTCTACATATGCAAAAAAATGAAAATAAAAACTCACGTTGTTACTAGAAATTAGTGCGATAAACATATCTAAGAATCTCATACTTCACTTACGCACTAAACACATAAACTTGAGACATCATTTTATTCGAGATCACATAGAAAAGGGAGAGAGGAGAGAGGAGATTATGTAGTTACCCTAAATTCCTTAATTAAATTGCTGCCTAAGTTTTAATTTTAAAAAAAATAAAAATAGAATGGCATGCACAGGCTGAGGCGTAAGAGTGGCAGAAGTTGCAGCTTCGGATAGATATTAGAGTGTAAACTTTGTTATTATTGGGGGCAAGAATGCTTTGTGATGGTCCAGAGGCCAATAGATAGCAATTTGCCATTTTGCTTTGACTTCAATTATAGTGTCTCACAGGAAGACCCAGAATTTTTTTAGCGGATGTGCAATATTAACTAAGTATGAAAAATGGTTTTTCGAAATAATCATTTTCTCAAGATAATTTTTGGCGGCTTTTATTCCTTACACATCAAATAAGAAAACTTGATTTTATGAGATTTTAGTATGAAGTATATATTGACTTAATGAGCCATCATTTTTAGCCTAAATCATATTTTGCACTAAAACCGAATTTTCATATTTTGATTTGGTGGGAATTTGATTTTCTAGTGTTTTTATTTGAATCCAAATGGGGGGTACTTCCTTATTTACATTGTAAAACATTGTAAACTTAAGTAAATGAAGTAATATAAAAATAAATAAAAGTAAAAAGACAAAGACATTTACTTAAATGTTGAAAATGGAAATAAGGACAAATTTAGAAGCAGTGGCTGGAGAGGATACACTGGTCTGTTTCTTATTTTTTTCAAACCTGGCTCAAAACGACGTCGTTTTGGCCAGGTCGTTTTAAAAAACAAACTGGCGCGCGCTAGCTTTCTTCTTCAGCTTGCAACCCATCGTTCTTTCAGACATTTCGTCGACCACTTGGTGTGCAGCTCCAAGAGGTCGCACCAGCAGCTCCAATGGACCTCTAAGCCTATTTTCATGGCTTCCAAGAGGTCGTGCGACCCCAATGACCCCACTGTGGCTCCGCCCCTGAACCCACTTACGTTTGATTTTTGTTTTTCGGTGAGAATTATTTGTTTTTATGTCATTGATTGGTAATTACGATCAATGGCGGATTCATGAATATTTGTAAGGTTGGCTATTGTTTTTTGGTTGGGATCAATTATAAGCCCTATTATTAAACAAATATATATATATATATCAAAAGCAATATTTTCTTCGGATTAATGAAAGTGGTACACTTTTTGACTAATTCAATATATTTCTTTGAGATTAAAAAATATTTTCAGAATTCATTAAAAGAAAAATACTATTTTCAGAGAGATATCTGAATTAAAAAAACCTAGAAAAACCAAAATTCAAAGGCTCAGACGAAGAAAAATTTGAAGCTTGAGGATTTTGGATCAGCATAGTCGTTTAGTTAGGGAGAGTCCGTATTTCAATATTTCCAAAAGAAGCAACATCAACAAATTTATAAAAAAAACAAAAACAAAATCAGAGAAATGTATAAACATTATTAGAGCCAAATCAAAAGCTGAATAAACCAAAGAAGAGAAAGAGAGAGAGAGAGAGAGAGAGAGAGAGAGAGAGAGAGGAGAGAGAGAGAGAGAGAGAGAGAGAGAGAGAGAGAGAGAGAGAGAGAGAGAAAAAGTAATTGAAGTATTTAAAGTACTTGGCTATAGATATGGGCTTCTTTCTAGAAAAAGAGGTGGGCTATTATTTAATTTTTCTGGATTGAGCTTACACAACTAAGTCTAATTTGTCTCTCTCCAAAGTCAACACTGGGCTAGAGCCCACTTTAACCCAAGCATGGATCCGTCCTTGATTACGATTCAATTTCATCACCATCTATCTTTTTACCAATTCTTGTCATCACTATCAGTTGGTAAGATTCTTGCACTGTGTGTAGCTTCACTAGTGTTTGAGTCCCGCTACCAACAGTTCTTGTTAGTATACGATCTGTAATTTCCTACATAAATTGTGGCAGCTGACAGTTAGAGTAGCCAATCTCCCCCTAAACTTTTGTTCACCCAAACAAAAACTCTAAATTCATATCTCTCTCTATGGTTGATGGTAGCGAAAAGAAAATGTAAAAAAAAGAGTGGCCATGACGCATATAGCACACTAGACGTAAGTACTTTAAATATACTAAGTTCCATCCAATTGATGAAACGTAATCACTTCAATTTTATAGTATTCAACTTTCAAGTGCCTTTTCATGGATATGCATGAATATATATCTCAGGCTCAGCTCTTTTAATTAGTTTCAGGGTTAAACTCTTCTGCTACATACATATTACTATTGAATAGACGCCTCTCTTTCGCTTCATCGATCAATCAGAAGATGTTCTTGTGGCCTATTGATTAGCTTCCCTTGTCAATCATCTCCAGCCATCAGCTTTCAACTCGGTCATTGACTGGTCAAGATTTGGTCACTTTAAAAGTCAATTCCGGTCAAAATTGGGAAATTAGATATACAAATATTTGACACAAAAATTATTATAATGGCTCTCATTGCTCATGCAATTTTGATTTCTCCGTTGTTGCATGTGTGAAATGAACATGACGGCAATATAAAGCCTGTCAATCTGACTATACATATGAATGACAGCCATTTTGACTTTTCATATCTAAATCCTTCTGCAATTCTCAAAGATCTGCAGAAGCATGATTTCGTATGTAGGAAAAGTTCATGTAAAATTGTCTGCTGGTCGATTCATGAAACTGTGTTCTCTTTCTCTTTGGGAACATCTTTTTTTCTTATGGAAACTACAAACAGCTTTGTTGATGATCACTCATCCCAAACCAACTTAATGGATATCTTTGGCAAATGCAATGGGAATAACATTGATAATTAAAAATAATAATAAAAAGAATAGAAAAGAAGGATGAGCTTCTGATTACACAAATCTTATTTATTATATGTAAATCAAAATTAACATTAGTGCAAGTACAACAATAATAAACCAACATACAGGGAGATAATAAATGAGCCTTCTTAGATTCTTAGAAGATATAGCCTCCATTATAGAATGTGTTAGAGTAATCCCCTCCAGAAGAGAAAGCTGTAACTGCTGCTTGATTCTGCATGGCTGATTTGTTGCACTGGCTTAAGCTTGTGTTTCGATCCATTCGACCATTTACATGCTCATCATCTAAGTTCCAGAGGCGCCCCATATATAACCCTTCTTCTCCTAATATATCTGCCCAAGACCCTACACTTCCTTGGTTCATCAACGCAGGCAAGCAATATTGGTCCCCCTCCAAGTTGGGGTAGCTGCTACTAATAAGATCCATATTATTCTCTTGCCTTGCTTGTGCCTCATGATCAGTAGTCATGTTAATGTTTTCTCCTTGGCTTGCTTCCGATTGTGGCGTGGCTCGTATTTTCAGATTTTGATCTTCCTGCAGTTGTTGTTGTTGCTGCTGCTGCTCCTGTTGTTGTTGTTGTTTTGCTAGAAGAATTTGAGCTTTTCGTTTCTCTTGCTTCTGAGTGCATTTCTCTTTCTTTTTGAAATGAGTTCTCCAGAAGTTCTTTATCTCATTGTCTGTTCTTCCTGGCAAGTATCTAGCAATGCTAGACCATCTGTATACATTTCACATAAAAATGAGTGTACTTGATAATTATTCAATCTAGCTAGCTAGACTGCACAGACAGACAGACAGACAGACAAAGCATAGGACATCATTATATTGCTTACTTGTTACCCCATAAAGCATGCAATTCAATAATGATGCCTTCCTCCTGAGGTGTTATATGGCCTCTCTTTAATCCAGGCCTAAGATAATTCACCCATCTAAGTCTGCAACTTTTGCCACTCCTGTTCAAACCTGAAAAAACAAATTATTAGAAGGTTTTTTTTTAAAAAAAAAACATGCAATTATTGGAAGTTAATTAAGAGAGTTTAATGTAATTACCTGCACACTTAGCCACACAACTCCATCTTCCCTCTCCATGTAAGTTGACATATTCATTGAGCAGCTTGTCTTCCTCTGGTGTCCAAGGACCTTTCCTCCATCCTTGTTGTTCTGCAAATCCCCAACCCATCATTGTTATCATCCTTCCTTTCCTTGGTTTCACTTCAATTCAACCCAGCTGTTTGTTGTCTCTGTATTCTTTGACATTTATTGCACAATGCATGGCTAGTTACCTTCCCTCTATATATATGCATGACATATATATCTCCTCCTACCTCTGAAACAGTGACTTCAATATCGTTTTCTTTGATGATCTCAGTCAAGATCTTTGAATCGAATCTAT